ACTAGTCATTTTTGGGGCCCTTTATAGCTTGCTGTTCGGTGTGAGCCAAGGCTCCGTGTTGAAGGCCGTACTTTGACCTATAATGCTTTACTTTTACAAATTGTGACTTGGATGGAGAGTTGTCTCATTGGCACTCATACCACATCTTCTTATATCTATTTGATAGTTTGTTAAATGTATTACCAATTTTTCTAGACACTGGGGACTTAGATCTTAAAATATTATATAACCACTTGTCTATTGTTGAAAAGTTAAGAACATATGTCATGTATGTCATGTATGTTGACCTCTACTTTATGTCTTTTGGTTGTTTGTGACGTAGCTTGTAATCTCATTGACATAACCTCTACATCTCCTGTTATTTATAAATTCATACTTACAACTTAAAATTGAGAACAGCTCCTGCATTTACCATTAAGGTCCTATAAAAAAAATTCTTCGCATTAGAAAATTGTATAAGCACTGATAAACTATCCACATTTAAGAATGTACATTGACAGAAAATAATTAGGATTCTTGCAACTGGAAACATGCCAAGACAAAGGCCAATGACTCATCATTTTTGTGGTATCATATCCATATAATTTTATTAGTCTTAAATTTCTTCAGGGGAAAAGATAAGCTGGGCCCCAGTAGCCTAGGCTACAAAATATTGAACTGGGCCCCTAAATTATACAATATGTAGCTGAAAATGTCCATACTGCATATGTTTATCTTTCATATTATGGCAACCACTGAACTACAGGTTCCTGACTTGGGACAGACACAAATTGAATGTGGCAGGGTAAAACATATTTGAAGGTGCCAGCCCTTCCCCAAAACCTGGGACAGTGTTGTAACAGAACAACTTTCACAACATAAGAACAAACTATAAAAATCAGTTGAAAAGGGCTCATCAGATCGATACAAAATGGAAAAACATTTAACAAAAACTGATACCAGACATGGCAGGGTATTTATACATCCCTCACAACAAAAAAAGACACAAAAGTACAGATCTAAGAGTACAAGTTTGCAGTTACTGACAGCTAGTTCAAAGCCAATAACAAATTTAACAAATAAAAAAGTATGTTTCAAAGACTAAAATATCAATCAGTACATATCCAAAATCCAATTCATTTAGTGTAAATGTTACGAAATAAAATTTCTTCAAACTATAAGTTCCAAGAAGAAAAAATATTCTGTAATATCATTTCCACTGGAACAAATATTACAGTATTTGTTCCTTATGGAATAAAGGTTATAGAATAAATGTTCCAATAGGACGCATATATTATATTCATAGCATTGTTTATAACAAAGTTTCCAGTGGAACTTCTGTTAGGCGGAACAAACATACACTGACATAAAGACGTCATTAAAAGTCAGAAAAAAACATTTATAACCTTGTGCAATGCCAAAATATATTTCAGGTGTAAGAACTGTAGTAGTAAAAGGAGCTCGGGCCAGGTCGAGGTGAGGTTGTTGGTTAAAAAAAATAAAATAAAATAAAAAGAGTTGATGTGATAGTAGCCTTATCAGAAAATCGCTTTTCAAAAGGGATTACATAATAAATACATTTGAACATGTACTGATGTAGAAACAATATTATTTTCCATTTCAAGTGTATTATGTGATATATGGTTAGAGTTATTATTAAGGGGACGAAGTCCCCTATTACGGTAGAAAAATCAATAAAAAAAAAAAAAAAAAAAAAAAAAAAAAAAAAAAAAAAATCGGGAAAATTTCCCGAAATTTTCATTCTACTATTGAACTCAAAATCGTTAACTTTTTTATTTTCAGACTTTTTTATTTTCCCGCATTTGCGCAGAAATCTACTTCCTTTTTCCGGTCTCGTTTGCATGAGTCTTTGAGTAAAATATATATTTATCAGTCTAGTAAAATATAGGAAGGAACGCAATACCTATTCCATTTTTAATAATTCCTTGAATGGCTTGATATGAAAAAACGTTACCTGATAGCGTTTCTTTGTTTACATTGAATATGACGTCATAACATAAATAACGTCACAACTAAAATTCCGAACAACAGAACCGAAATCGGAAACGTAAGGGTATTTCCGTTTCTTTTTTGAACAGATTTTGAAGTTAAAATATGTTTGAATTAAAAAAAAAAAAAATTCATACAGACTTCGTCCCCTTTCACAGGTAACGCCTGCCTCATATTATTTTGTATTGGAGAAGACATCATTTGTTTGAAACTTGTGTCCTATCCATTTTAATTTTCTTGTTTGGCAATAAAAATTATGCTTTAAGTAAACTGTATGGTCATAAATTCTTTTAGAGACCATGCATTAAAGGTGTACTTTCATTACTAAATATTCTTATAAACTACAAGACTCATACCCAAATAGGATTAAGTCAGATATCATCTTCAATGAATATTTAACTTTTCAATCAAAACTAGTGTCAGATAATATCAGAATTGATCATTGCAAATTGATAAATTTTTTCGTGTTGTCAACCGGAAACTGAAGATAATATTTATTTCACAAATCATCACCGGACAAAAAGTTAACTACGGGTCTCACTAATTAGCAACAAGAAGTGTCAAGAAGCGACAAGAAGCGTCAAGAAGCGATGGATATGTACCTATGTATTCTGCTATTGCTTTATTCATGGTTTCAAGAGAATGGCCAGGCATTTTTTTCGAACCAGCTGATTATTTTCTTGTAAGAATTACTTCTTTTCATAGAAGCATAATGACGCTTAAGGATAAACAAATTAGATTCATGGTTGGAGTAAAGGACGTGTGTCCCTTATTGTATTGCTACAATGACATTCAATTAACACCTATAACTGTGTACACGCGTCAGACTATACAACTACACGCGCCAGAAAATACAATGATTGTAAATAGTGAGCAACTGTTGAACACTCAACATTGTCTTTAATTACCTTTGATCTTCAATCAACTTTAAAGAGGGTGGTAAAGGGTTATTTTCGTGCAACGTGATCGCCGTTTTGTGTTTTTACTTTTTTGTTTGACATTCAGTCGTGCAAGACAGGTGCCTCGTTCAACGTGTTCTGCTTATTTAATTTTACGTGCATCGTGATTTTGAAATGCTTATTTTGCGTGTTCGGTATTTTTCAAATAAAATTCAAACACTTGGCAGGGATCTTCAAGAAAAAAATGGATTCAATTTTGTTTTTTGAGTAAAGCGGAAAGGCCTTTGATGTTGTTCCTTATCGATTTTGGAGCTTCCAAGATATATTTACTGGTTTGGCCTAACACATTGCTCATCAAATATTAAGTAACTACATCACACTGACATTTTATTGTCTAAACAAATTTGTAACGGGCCATACATATTTATTTTTGTCGTATTCTTTCGATTTGATTCAGTTTGCGATAAGTTCAAAATCGTTGTACCATATACTATAGTCCTCTGGTATGAATATGTTGATGGATTGCTGTATTGCCATTATATGTCTCTAGTTCATGATTGTAATGTTAGAAAACATAAAAAAATAAAAGGACTAATGAGACCTGCATTTTATGAATTACTAGGGAAAGCTGTAGGATTAGGGATATATTACAATCAACTTGTGCTTCTGTTCGTCAATCCAACAAATATTTCCGTTAGATTTTTCTAAGAAACAACTTTACATAATGACTTCATACTAATTAAGTTCAAATCTGATATGTTTTTAACATGTGAACACTTTTCGAATCTCCTAGATACATGCTTCCTCATTGGCGATTCTTTGAATTTTTTGGTAAAATGAAAAGAATGACTTTAAATAGGATCGACATCTTAACAGTGATGAGCTTTAACGTGTTTGCACCTCCCATCATCTGTCAGTTCAAACTTCCAATTTCTGATACTTTTAACCACGAGTCGTGGTAGCTGGTGGCATGGATAACATGACAACGTGTTTATTCTTGTTAAAAAAGACAATGAAATAGATCAAGAATACACTTTCGTGTCTGCGGGATATTTGCATTTTAAAAGTTAAGAAGATCGTTATATACTTTTTTAAAAGCCGCAAACCATTTATATCAAGTTATAAATGTGTATACCAAATCGGGAATATGAAGTAAAACAGAGAGTTTATATATATACAAGAAGACAGTGACTCAGTCACAAAAGGTTCACATCAAAGTCTTTATTTTTCGTGCAACGTTCATGACAGAAATTATTTCACGTTCAACGTGAAATTATGTCTTATTTCACGTTTTTTCCGTGCAAGCACAATCCCTCTATTACCACCCTCTTTAAACTATGCATAAACATCATGCATATCGTTTGATAAGTCAATACCCAAATAAAATATTCACGTTTTAGTAACATTATCTTTTCTGGACACTGATTCACGTATAATGCATTTTGCATGCAGTCAGTTTATTATATTTCAGACAAAGAGAGTGTTAAAAAATTTATAAAATAAATATATTATTGTTCTAAAACACAAGAACATATAAAATTTTTTATCATACTATGACAGGGAAATTTCTATATCAAGTTATCAATATCAGAGACATATAATTGTATTATATGTCTCTGTCAATATCTATCAATATATTCAGAAACATATGCTAAATGTATTTATATGTCTCTGATATATTAAAAAAGAAATGAAAATCACTATACTTTCCGTATATTAAAATAAAAATGTCAATGCATATATTTTTTAATATATTTATTTTAATAATATTTTTATTAAGTTTTCTTGTCGCTAAAAAGTCTTCTTGTCGCTAAATTTATTCTTCTTGTCGCTTCTTGTCGCTAAAATTCTTCTTGTCGCTAATTAGGGAGACCGGTTAACTACCATAAAGATAAATTATGTAATACACAATGAAGTACAAGAAGTGAAATGTTATTTTATTTTTTCGTCTGATTCTATAAAATTTGAAATATAAATTGATTTAAAATTATGAAAATAATATATTTTAATGATACATTATCACTGAACATTCTTTATTTCATTATTTATATATATATAGGAAGTTTCCTTTCCCACCCAGTATCCTTTTCTGGATTTTAGATGTATCTGTGGTGTTGCAATAACAAACTTTCACAATTCTTTAAATTTACTCCCAGTATCTCTTTCCTTAAGCAGCTGTTAAGCCAGTTTGGCTAATAGAGCTACAACAAACCATTACTTCAATGGCTGAAGGCGGTAGAGAGTATGGTTCTGATTTAAATTGGTCACCAGAATATGTAGAAAATCTTCAAGAACAGAAAGACGAGGTTTTGTACATGTAAATCAAAAGATAATATAAATATTTATCAATAAGACAATATCATATCATGTTACAACAAGGAGCAATAACAAACACATGCCTCAGTTAATGCAATATAACATTGAACATAAAATATGTGCTTCTTCTTCTTAGTATCAGCCTCCTTTAATTAGGAGCACCTCCAAATATATATGGAGTTTTGCCTTAACTTTAAAATTTAAAAGGATAAAACAAAAATGATCTTTTTCCAACATATGTACAGCACATATAAATAAACAATAAGAGTGTCATGCAAGGCATATTTACATGGACCTTTTTGTTATAAATTAGTCTACCATACAAGTAGATTCACTTACATGTATGTATGTATCTCAGTTTTATTTATAATTAAAAATATGTTTCATTTGAATTTGCTTTTTAATATGCATAAAAGATACAATAAAAGGAGGTTTTATTTAGTAAGATCTATGTATTAAAATAATAAGTTAAGATGTAAGAATTTAGTAAAATCTAAAAAGGCAGGTTTTCTCAGTGGAATGTTATATGTACTTCATGATCAATGTATATATAAAAATCATAATAAAGTAATATAAGCTTGTTTTGTCACCATCAGTAAATTTAAAAGGATATATACATGATCTGGACCCTATCATAAATGTATTAGTGAGTTAAAAAATAGGAATGCTTATTAATTATTTAAATTTCTTACAATTATTAAATGACAGACTCTGTGTTGGTATATATATGTCACTTATGATAATCATTATTCTCATTTGATTGGCATTTCCTCCACTTAAAGATATATGTATATATTTATATACGTATATGCAATATGTGTCTTGCTATTTGTTGTCCATAATTTTCAATCTTTCTATGTGCATTTGGAATAACATATTTCTGGTTTTGCTTTCAATATTTTCCATGAATTTTTCACAGTTATCAAATAGCTCCTTATATTTTGAACAGTCTATTAGCAGTTGTACTATTGCAGTTTTGTTCATGAAGGTGCAGTTCCATTTTGCTGGTGTGATTTTATCAGTGATCGCTTTTCTTATATCAAGGAAATATTTTTCTCTCGTAGTACTAAGTATGGGACAGGTTGTCAGGAAATGAGTTATGTCTTCATTGTCAGTTTTACATAATTGGCATATTGGTTCTACTGTATAGGGAGTGAATTTATGTTTGTCTGCCTGAAGTATGTATGTTCCAGTTAACATTCTAGTCTTGATTATTGCTTTTCTAAGTTCAAAACGAGGCAAATGTTTTACTTTCCAGACTTTATGATGTTTATTGATCTCGAAGTTTTCCTTATTCATAAACTTTAAGCTAGATTTTCTTTCAGATTCTGTTAAGGTCTTGTCCTTCCAAAATTTGTCTATTGTCAGCTTGGTGGTTCTTTTCCAATGTTCTTTCTTTGGAACATTGCCTTGAAGTTGTATAATGGTTGGAAGTTCATACATATCTAATATATCCATAACTCTTGAAAAGAAGCTACTTTTGTATCAAAATTTGTTGTTATTTGTCTTTCCATAAGCTGATGTATTTTTTCATTTTCGCATGTTAGTAGTGCATGTAGGAGAGACAAAGCTCTTTTATGAATTTCTGCTTCTATTGGTAGAGCTCCTAACAGTAGTAACACTGCCGAATTAGCGGTTCTTTCTGGAAGAGATTGTAACTGGCGAAGATTTTTTCTATGAAATTTTTCCAACTGTTCGATATCAGATCTTGTTAGAGGTAGCACTTCTAGTCCATAAATTAACCTTGGAATGACATAGGTTTTGTAAATTTGATATGAGGTTGGTGGGTCTAGACCGTTTGTACCATGACAGCCTGATCCCATGAGGGCGTATTTAGTTCTTCTCGCTAATTTTATTCTCTCTCGTACATTTATGTGACTTTCGTTGCTTTCAGCTCTCGTTAGTCCTAGGTGTACACCTGATTTAGCTATTGTTACATCATTTCCATCTAGTTTCCAGTTGTAATCACTTTTTGTTTTAGAACAATCTATGATTTGGGTTTTTGTTGGATGTATACTGTAGTGGTGTTCGTTTGCATATCTACCGAGCACATTTAGCATTAGTTGTAGTTCATGCTTGTCATTCGATATAAAGGCTATATCGTCGCCGCAAGTTGGTGATCCTACGTATATATTTCCTAACTGGTATCCTATTGAATTTTGTTCCAATTCTACCAGAAGATCTTGGACAAAGATTTTGTATAGATGGGTTGATAGAATTCCTCCCTGTCTTACACCTTGTTTAATTTGGAAAGGATTACTTATTCCATCAAGCCATTTAACTTTTGTAGTCAAGTCAGTATATAGGTCTGTTAGTATTTTCCAATATATTGGATGGATTTCTTGATTAAGCATTTTATCCATCAGTATAGTGTGTTGGACTACATCAAATGCTGATTTTACATCTAGAATGTTTATATAGAAATTGTCATTCCCCTTTTTTTTCTCATATCTAGCTTCTGAAATGATTAAGCTTGCCATGATTGGCGATAAACCTTTGGTGAATCCAAATTGGAGGTCTGTTTTTGGTTCTATCATCAGTTTGTTTAGAAATGAGTATTCAAAGGTTTTTCCAGTTAGGGATCATAGATTTATTCTTATGAGGAAGCTCCGAGCATGCTCGGAGGATGCTCGGAGCTTTTTAAGTAGGCTCTTCTCAGCAGTTTATGTGACAATAATTATCATGATCCATTAAGACGTCAATCCAATCTACACCACTTCTATGATAAGGAAAGTAAAGCATTATAGGGGAAGCTCAATTAACACCTGTGTAAACATCTGGTCTATTTAAATACATTTTGCATGAAATTTTACAAAATTATAAAATAGATTAGAAATTCTTCAACAGAACTGTGTAATGCTTGGAAATAAATCTCAAGTCTCCACAAAAAGTAAAAGTGATTTAAATAATTACTTATTATATTTAATAATAATTCCTTTTTTTTATATTAAAAAAACTCTCAAATTTTATAATTAGATGATATGATTTAAATATAGTTTATATTATATAATATGATACATAAAAGTTATCTAGACACCAACAACAGTCAGGGGGTGATACTAAACAAGTTATTTTTTTTTTGGTTACTTATATATAGGAATTTTTTGTTTTTAAAAATTATTTGATAACTCAATAGTCATTTTAAATGTCAAAAGAAGCATGGACTAAATGTACGTTTTTAAGAATTTTTATATCATTTCATTAAATACAATTAAGTATTTGTCCAATTTGAGATGAGTATAGAGAGGTTACTTTAAAAATAATGACAAAAATATTACTTTTATAAATTATTTTATACATCTTTGAAAGACTTAGTACTTACAATCATTTAAGGAACATATGTAATTGTTTTTGATTAAGATTACAAATTATAAATAACTTCAAGTCTTTATTAAATCACAAGGTTCCATCTATTTATATCTGTCTATCTCTAAGATTTTAAGGGAAAATGACATTTTGATAGCCCCAAGAGACCAATCTTTGACCAAGAAGTGTGGCATCAGAAATGCAATTAGTGTTTCAGGAGGATTTAAATAGTTTTATATTTTAAGAGGAAAACAAACCAGATGTCTGTAAAAATTTGTTAAAGCTAGTAAAACCTGTATGAATGAACCTATAAAAATAATATTAACAGAAGTTACTTATATTCATGATATAGAAGTAATATTTGAATATATTTCAACATAACTTGTATAGGTAATTTGAAAATTACTTGTTTAAGTAATGGCTCTAACTAAACAATGATAATATGTTTTTTTATAAAATAGCAAACTTAGTTCTTTTATAGAAAATATGGATACTTTAGGAAAAGTTGAGGGGTAATTCCACCATTGTTTTCCCTCTAGTACGTCTCTCTTAAATTGGCATTTTTATAAATTGTGCGGATTTGGCTTTGTTTTAAATAAAGAAATACTTGGCATGAGTAAAGTTTTATCCTGTCCTGTACTTTAGAGAAAATCTGACATAAAATTGTTTTTCCCTAATCAGTCTTTGTTTAATTGGTATTTAAAAAAAAAATGTACAGAATATATCTATGTTTTAAATGAAGAATTACTTGACATGAGTAAAGTTTTATTCTGTCCTGTACTATAGTAACAATACAACATAACTTTTCAGTGCATATAAGAAAGTAAACATCACCAAATTCTCTCCCCCTTTTTTTTTAACTGTAACGTTTACAAGCTTTAGTAGCCATGTACCCTAAAATTTCCAAAATATTTATAGAACACCAAAAAATTTTTTTTATTGCTTTGAAACACCCAAGATACATGTTTACGTCTCAAAAACACTTTTCTGCAATGAAATGGAGGGTTAATTTCCAACAACTGTCAAATTAAATGGAATATAAAAACAAGAGTGCACACGCTGAAATGTCTCGCCTTCTTTACTAATCATTGATATTATGTTGATAGTCCTAAATATAAAGCTTTATTACAACTGTCACATAAACTTAACATTAACCAAGTAAACTAAACATTGACCATCGAACCATGAAAATGAGGTCAAGGTCAGATGAACCATGCTAGGCAGGCATGTACAGCTAACAATTCTTCCATACAACAAATATAGTTGACCTATTGCTTATAGTTTAAGAAAAACAGACCAAAACACAAAAACTTAACACTGAGCAATGAACCTTGAAAATGAGGTCAAGGTCAAATAAAACCTGCGTGACTGCCAAATAGATCATAAAATATTTCCATACACCAAATATAGTTGAACTATTGCATATAGTATTAGAAAAAAAGACCAAAACTCAAAAAACTTAACTTTGACCACTGAACCATGAAAATGAGGTCATGGTCAGATGACACCTGCCCGCTAGACATGTACACCTTACAATCATTCCATACACTAAATATAGTAGACCTATGGCATACAGTATAAGAAAAACAGACCAAAACACAAAAACTTAACTATAACCACTGAACCATGAAAATGAGGTCAAGGTCAGATGACACCTGCCAGTTGGACATGTACACCTTACAGT